GGATAATTCCTGAGTGCAGAGGCAGGAGTAATTCCTGTGCATCGCTGGGTGTGACCAAAAAGAAAAAAAGAATACAAAAAAAGAACCTGGGCTGGGCTGAGGGTATCACGTATGCATGAGACTCGGGTTAGACTCCCAACAGTGCAAATAAAATTCTGGGGTGCTACAGGCACTACCTGCTCCCCGGGGATATTAGTATTACTACTTGGTTTGTTGCTTCCTACACCCAGGGGTGCTCATGGGCAACTCCCAGTGAGGTGCTGGGGTTTGCTCCTGACAGTGCTCAGGGGACCTGCAGAGATCAAACCCACGCCTTCTTCCTTGTTTGCTCTTTTTTGTGTTATTTGGGCCACATCCAGCTGTGCTCACGGCTTACTCCTGATTCTGTGCTCCAGGATCACTCCGGGTAGGCTTCGGGGACCATATGAGATGCTGGGGATGGAACCTGGGTAAGCCACATGCAACACAAGCACCTGTGTGGACAGTGGATCACGTGCTGCACGGACAGTGGATTGTATGCTGTGTGGACAGTGGTGAATTGTGTGGTGTATGGAGAATGGATTGCATGCTGTGTGGACAGTGGACTGCATGGAGTGTGGACAGTAGATTGCGTACAGTGTGGAAGCAGATTGTATGTTGTGTGTACAGTGGATCATGTGCCGTGGAGACAGTGAGTTGTTTGCCATGTGGACAGTGGGCTGTATGCTGTGTGGACAGTGGATTGTGTGTTGTATGGACAGTGGATTGTGTGCTGTGTGGATCGCGTACTGTGTACACAGTGGGTTATACTCTGTGTGGACGGATTGTATGCCATGTGGACAGTGTATTGTATGCTGTGTGGACAGTGAGTTGCTTGCTGTGTGGAGAGTGGATTTTGTCTTGTATGAACAGTGTATTGTGTGTTGTATGGACAGTAGATTGCGTGTTGTATGGACAGTAGATTGCATGCGGTGTGGACATTGGTTTGTATGCTGTGTGAACAGTGTATTGTGTGTTGTGTGGACAGTGGATTGTGTGTTGTTGGACAGTGGATTGTGTGTTGTATGGACAGTAGATTGCACGCTGTGTGGACATTGGATTGCATGCTGTGTGGACAGAGGATTGAATGCTGTGTGGATGCAGGGACTAGAACCTCTGGGCCAAGCCTTCTTATGCTTCTTCCACTTGTGACCCCCTTTCCACCTTAGAATTTTTGTTTTGAGGTTTTGGGGCCACAACAGGAGGTGTTCAGGAGCTACTTGTGAGTGCTCAGGGTAACTCACAGTGGTGCCTGTGCTCAAGGGACCATGTGACCCTAGGGATGGAGCTGGAGTCAGTGACTTAAACTATGTACTGACCTTACCTTAGAATATTTTTTTGGTTTTGGGACCACACTTATCTGTGCTCGGGGGTTACTCCTGGCTCTGTGCTCAGGGATCACACTTGGCAGAGCTTGGGGGAGCATATGGGGTTCCAGTGACTGAATTGAGGTGTGCAGAGTCAATTCCCTATCCATTCTACTATCTCTCTGGCCACCCCGCCCTCTGGAAAAATATACATTTTTTTAACACATATGACCCCTGGGACCAGAGTGATAGTACAGAGGGTAGGGTATTTGCCTTACATCTGACTGACCTGGGTTTGATCCTCAGCATCCCATATGGCCTCCTGAGCACTGCCAGGAGTAATTCCTGAGCATCACTGGGTGTGGCCCCAAAACAAAAAGTGGTGAGAAAAGCAACCATTTTCTTTGAGACCAGAGAGGCAGTACAGTGGGTAAGGTGCTTGCCTTGAACTCAACCAGCCTGGATTTAATCCTTGTCATCCCATATGTTGTTACTGTGTCTGGCATATCGAATACTCTCGGTAGCTTGCCGGGCTCTCCGAGAGGGGCGAAGGAATCGAACTCGGGTCGGCCATGTTGGCTGCGTGCAAGGCAGACGCCCTACCCGCTATGCTATAGCACAGCGGTAGGGCGTTCGCCTTACAAGCGGCCAACATGGCCGACCCGAGTTCGATTCCTCCGCCCCTCTCGGAGAGCCCGGCAAGCTACCGAGAGTATTCGATATGCCAGACACAGTAACAACAAAGTCTCCAATGGAGACGTTACTGGGCCTGCTCGAGCAAATCCCATATGAGCCCTCAAGCACCGCCAGGAGTGATTCCTGAACACAGAGCCAGGAATGAATCCCTGAGCATCACTGGCTGTGACTTATCCTCCTGCCAAAAAAAAGTTACATGACCCCATAAGCCACAGCTTAAGAAGTGAGGCTGGAGCGATTGCACAGCGGGTAGGGCGTTTTTCTTGCATGTGGCCGACCAGAGTTCAATCCCCGGCATCCCAATGGTCCCCTGAGCACTGCCAGGAGTAGTTCCTGAGTGCAGAGCTAGGAGTAACCACTGTGCATTGCTGGGTGTGACCAAAAAAAAAAAAAAAAAAGAAGGGAGGCTGTAGAAACTTGTGTTTCAATTAAGGGGAGTGAAAAAGCACAGCCCTGGGTTTCTTGCGGGAGCCAGAGAGCACGTTACTCCGTTCAAAGGCACACAGGCGACCCTCTCATTCCGTTCCTTCCTGCCTTCTGACTGCCTTGTTTGCATGTGTTTTGTACCCTTACAACATTCTGTGCCCCTTTAATCAAGTAACTGGTACATTCTGTCTCCCATTTTGTAATTTTGGGGTCACACCCTGTGGTGCGCAGGACTTCGACCTGGCTCTGTGGTCAGGGATCCCCCCTGGCAGCTCTCAGAGGATCACATACCGCGCCTGGGATCCAACCGGGGTTGGCCACATGCAAGACAAGTTCTTTCCTTGCTTTCCTATCTCTTTGGCCCCGTTTAATTTGTTCTTGGAATCACCTTCAATTGTTTCCGTGTTAGGAACAGGGAAGGGTGTCAAAGGGCAGGAGTTCTGGGGCCAGGGAGATAGCACAGTGGGTAGGGCACTTGCCTTATATATGGCTGACCTGGGTTTGATCCATACAGTACCCTGTATGATTCCTTAAGTCCTGTCAGGAGGGATCACAGAGCCAGGAGTAAGTCCTGAGCTTGGGGGCTGAAGCAATAGCACAGCGGGGAGGGCGTTTGCCTTGCACGGCGGCCGACCCGGGTTTGATTCCCAGCATCCCATTTGGTCCCCCGAGCACCACAATCATGCACTAATTCCTGAGTGCATGGGCCAGGAGTAACCCCTGTGCATCGCTGGGTGTGACCCCCCCCAAAAAAAATCCTGAGCTTGACCCAAACCAGCCCAAACTGAGTACACCCAGTCCAGGTATGGCCCCCAAGCCCCCAGATTAAAGCGTTAAAGTTCAGGCTTGCACATGGGAGCCAGAATTTCCATCCCTAGCACTGCATGGTCAGCAGGTCTTCTGGGTAGTGTTGGAGTGTGGCCCTTCCAGAAGACGGTCTCTGGCTGTCATTGAGACTCAGTGCTGCTCAGGTAAGGAGTCCCGCATATGGACAATCTAGAATCTGAACCGACATGGCCCGCTTCCTTCGAGGAATGGTCAGTTCTCGGCGGCCACCTGTCGGTCTTTGCCTCTGGCTTCCTGGTGAAGAGACTTGATCATAGCACCAACCTCGTAAGACTTGGCAAAGGTTACATTAGTTCATGTGGGGGTTGGGACAACAGCTCAAAGCCCTAGCGTAGCTGCTTTGCATGGGGGAAGCCTGGGTTTACCCCTAGGACCTCCCAGTCCCCCTTGATCACCAATAAAGGAACAAATGAGTTCCTCTAACCATCCTGGAAGTCTGACGTGGGGGCCCTGCAAAAGGGAGTCATTCCGTTTGAAAAACGGGAAAGTCTTGCGCAAAGTGGACCAGTTGGTCTTGCCCGAGAGAGTGCTTGGTGCTCAGAACGTGTTCACAGCATAGCCATTCTGGATTCTTCTTCCACATCTGCGTGATGACAGGAGTGAGGACCTTCTCTGGCCCCGACCTGTTCCCACAGCTGGCCTCCAGACCTACAGCTGGGCTCAGGAAATAGTTGCTTCCCCCCGCCTCCCCTTTTGTAGTTTTTGGGCCACACCTGGCAGTGCTCAGGGTTTACTCCTGGCTCTGTGCTCAGGGTTTACTCCCGGCTGTGCTCAGGGGACTGTTGGGGATTACATTGGGGTTGGCAGCATGCAAGGCAAGTGCCCTTTGATATTTCTGGTCCCCAGAAGGTAGCTTAAAGGGCTGTTTTGCATGCAGGAGGCCTGGGTTTAATCCCAGGCACCACATGGTCCCCTGAGCATTGCTGAGAAGCCACCCCTAAACACGGAGCAAGCCCTTGAACACCACGGGGTGTACTTCCCAAACAAAACAAAAATAAGAAAATAAAAAAAGCTCCACAAGTCCGTGTGGACGCCCCACACCTCATTCTGGGGTCCAAGTGTAGGGAGGTAGCCCGGTCCCTAAGGTCCTGTTCCCCAGGCTGTGACAGAGGCCGTCTCTGGAAAGGGGGCGGCCAGAACAAACCTTGGCGGGAGACGTCTTGATTGGGGTGCAAGGGGAAGGAACAGGGGCCTGGGCGCGGCTTTGTGGGTCCCTGCGGGTCCCTTTGTGGGCCGCGGTCTCACGCACACTGCCCGGCCTGAGGACACACCGCAGGCCGGTAAGTGACCCCAGGATCCTGCGGGAACACACGGGCCCTGGGGATCTGCAGCCAGGGGCCAGGGCGGCCGGCACTGCCCCCGCGCCGGGCTCGGGTCCCCCCACTCGTCTTGACAGCGGCCCGCCTGGTCACGGGGCTCGGGGACGGCCCGCTCCACCCGCCCGGCGGCCAGCGACCCGCCCCGTCCGTCCCAGCCCCCGGGGGAGGAGGGGAGAAGGGGAGAGGGGAGGGGGGTCGGGGAGGCCGGCTCTATAAAGGCGGCGGGGCGCGCCGCCGCTCAGTCCCCGCCGCCGGATCCCCAGCGCGCGCCGGCCCCCAGCGCCCCCGCAGTGAGTCGCAGCCCCCAGCCCCCCGGCGGCCGGCCGGGGTGCAGGGCGCGGAGAGTGGGGGGTGGGGGGCGGGCTGGGGGAGGACCAGGCGGGATCCCCACGGCTGCGACTTTAGGACCCGGGAGTACGGGGGCGCGCCCGCGGCTCGTTTCCTCCGGCGCGAGACCTGGGAGACCGTGTGCCACCCCCCAGGAATGCGCGTGCGGCCGTAGCCATGGTAACGGGGCAGCCTCGCGCGCCCTCCGCGGAAGGGGAGGAAGGGGGGTTCCTCGTCCCCCGGAGGGCCACCCGAGCGTCACATGATGCTTGCACGAGGGAATCAAGGCTGCAGCCCCTCCCTCGCGCGCGCGCCCCAGAGCCGCCGCGAGCCCGAGTCCGAGGCGGCTCCCCCCTCCCTGAGCCTCAGTTTTCGCATCGGCCCCTTGGAAGCACTGGCGCGGGGTGCCACCTCCCCGGAGTCCCCCTCTGCTGCTGGCTAACACCCGAGGCGTGGGTGCGAGCGGCCGGATGACCCCGCGGCGCCCCCCCACCCCCAGGCCGGCTCGCCATGGCCCTCTTCGCGACCCTCCTCCTAGCGCTGCTGGCGGGCGCTCGCGCCGAGCTCCCCGGCTGCAAGATCCGCATCACGTCCCAGGCGCTGGAGCTGGGTAAAGCCGGGCGGCGGGCTCGGGGCGTGGCGGGGGGCGCCCGGCCGTGGGCGCGGGAGTTACGGGTCTCGCTGCTGCCCTAGTGAAGCAGGAGGGGCTGCGCTTTCTGGAGCAAGAGCTGGAGACCATCACCATCCCCGACCTGCGGGGCCGAGAGGGACACTTCTACTACAACATCTCCGAGTAAGGGGCGGGGCTCGAGGGCGCGGAGGGGCGGGGCCAACCTCAGGGGGTGGGGCTCGAGAGCGCCATGGGGGCGTGGCCAAGGCCAGCAGGCGGGTCTCGAGAGGCGGGTGGGGCGTGGCCTACCTCAGGGGCGGAGCTCTAGAGCGAGGCGAGGCGTGGCCAACCTCGGCGGGTGGGGCTCGAGAGCGGTAGGGGTGTGGCCAAAATCAGGGGGTGGGGCTCGAGAGCGGTAGGGGCGTGGCCAAAATCAGGGGGTGGGGCTAGAGGGCGTGATGGGGCGTCGCCAATCCCTGGGGAGGAGCTCAAGAGTGTGGTGTGGGTGTGGCCAAGATCTGGGGGTGGAGCTCCAGAGGTGGTGGGGGCGTGGCCAAGCCTAGGGATGGGGCTAGAGAACGTAATGGGCGTGGCCAAAATCAGGGGGTGGGGCTAGGGGGCGTGATGGGGCGTCGCCAATCCCGGGGCTGGGGCTCGAGAGTGCGGCGTGGGTGTGGCCAAGATCAGGGGGTGGAGCTCCAGAGGTGGTGGGGGCGTGGCCAAGACTAGGGATGGGCTAGAGAACGTAATGGGCGTGGCCAAAATCAGGGGGTGGGGCTAGGGGGCGTGATGGGGCGTCACCAATCCCGGGGGTGGGGCTCGAGAGTGCGGCGTGGGTGTGGCCAAGATCAGGGGGTGGAGCTCCAGAGGTGGTGGGGGCGTGGCCAAGACTAGGGATGGGCTAGAGAACGTAATGGGCGTGGCCAATTGCGGGGGTGGGGCTCAAGAATGCGATGGGGGTTTGGCCAAGGTCAGGGGATGGAGCGCAGAGCGTGGTGGGGGCGTGGTCAAACCTAGGGGTGGGGCTAGAGATGATCCGGGCGTGGCCAATCCCGGGGGTGGGCCTCGAGAGCGCGGTGGGGCGTGGCGAAGGGCGGGGGCGGGGCTAAGGGCGGAGGGTAGCCCAGACTGTGTCCACTTCCTAAGGGCTCCGTGGGCGGGGCACATGCTTTGCCTGCGGGAGCCTGGGTTTCCCCCCCAGCACCAATGGGGGACTTCCACCCCCAGCGTTTCTGGACATGGCCTCAAGCTGCAACGACTCAAAGAAAATGTACGGGTTGGACTGCTACTAGGGCTAGCTTGAGGGGTGGTTAGAAATATAGACATTGGCAGGGGGAAGGTGACAGTGGTGGTGGGATCGGTGTTGGGATATTGAAGACCTGTGACCAATCATCGTGAACGACTTTGTAAACCACGGTGTTTAAATAAAGTGGAGGGGGGGAAGAAAAGAAAATGTAGGGACCGCCGGATGTGGATCAGAAAGAGAGAAAGAGACGGGGGATGGGGGAGGGAGGCCGGGAAGGAAGGACGACGTGGAGAGATTGGAATCTGTGGGTTTGGAGTGCAAAGACCTGGACATTTTCTGTGGGTGAGAGTGGGGTGCTGAGGTCCGGGGCAGAACTAATTGGGGAGGTCAGGGGAACAAACGTTCGACTTGAGACTTAGAATAAAGGGAAATTGGACGGTATCAGAGTCTGCATGGGGACTCGGTTGAGGGCAGGCCCTTGACTTGCATGCAGCCCCCCCCACCTCAGCGACCCCCAAGCACTCACTGCTGGGTGTGCCGCCCCCACATTTATTATGATTTGCATAATAAATAAAACAAACACCAGCTTCAGCAGCCTCAGGGGGTGGGAGGAAGGAAGGTGCACTTGGAAGACTGAAAAGCTGGGGTGAAGCTCCTTTTTTGGGGGGGGGGTGTTTGGCTTTGGGCCGCCGCGTGGGGGCGCTCCCGTCCTGGGCTCCCTCTCCACCGCGGGCGCTCGCGGTGGGGGCCTGGGAGCATCTTCCAGCCGCTGCAGCAGCATCCCCACCCCGACCTGGAAGAGGAAAAGGGCCTCCTGCGGGTGCCTGGGGCGGCCCCCCGTGACCCGCGGCCTCCCACGCAGGGTGAAGGTCACGGACCTGCAGCTGACGTCCTCGGAGCTGCACTTCCAGCCCACGCAGGAGCTGCTGCTGCAGATCACCAACGCCTCGCTGGGGCTGCGCTTCCGCAGGCAGCTGCTCTACTGGTTCCTGTGAGGACCCCTGGGGTCCCGGGGGGGGGGTGCGCCCGAGGGCTCTCTCCGGGGGAGTTCCTCAGCTCCCTGGGCCCTGCAAAAGGCAGGAAAATTGCAGAAGTCTTAAGGGGGGGATCAGATGCCCGGAGCAGGAAGGGGGGCTGACTAAGACTCAGTTAAAGGGGGGCCCACACGAAGCATCCCCGCTCTTGGCAGCTATGATGGGGGCTACATCAACGCTTCTGCCGAGGGCCTGTCCATCCGCACTGGTCTGCAGCTCTCCAGGGATGCCACTGGCCGGATCCGGGTGTCCAATGTCTCCTGCCAGGCCTCTGTCGCCAGGATGCACGCGGCCTTCGGGGGCACCTTCAGGTAAGTCTTTGTTGTTCTCTAGCAAACCTCTTTTAGAAGTTTTTTTTTTTTGTGGGGGGGCACACCTGGCAGTGCTCAAAGGAATCACTCCTGGTGGGGCTCGGGGGCCTGTTTGTGGTGCTGGCGCTAGAACCCGGGTCCGGCAGGTGCATGGCAAGTGCCCTCCGACCTCAGAAGCTTGTTTTCTTTTTTATTTTATTTTATTTTGCTTTTTGGGTCACACCTGGTGATACACAGGGGTTACTCCTGGCTTTGCACTCAGGAATTACTCCTGGCGGTGCTCAAGGGACCCTATAGGATGCTGGGAATCGAACCCGGGTTGGCTGGGTGCAAGGCAAACACCCTCCCTGCTGTGCTATCACTCTAGCCCCATTATTTTCTTTTTTTTTTCTTTTTGTATCACACTCGGCGATGCTCAGGGGTTACTTCTGGCTCATGCACTCAGGAATTACTCCTGGTGGTGCTTGGGGAACCATATGGGATGCTGGGAATCGAACCCGGGTCGGCCATGTTGGCTGTGTGCAAGGCAAACGCCCTATCTGCTGTGCTATCGCTCCAGCCCCATTGTTTTCTTTTTTTAAAAATTTATTTTTTATTTTTGGGCCGCACTCAGGGATTACTCTGCACTCAGGAATCACTCCTGGTGGGCTCGGGGGACTCTATGGGATGCTGGGGGCTGAACCCAGATTGATCATGTTCAGGACAAGCACCTTACCTGCTGTATTATAATTTTGGCTTCCAAATATTTATTTTTTTTTACAACACACTGTGGAGCGATAGCACAGTGGTAGGGTGTTTGCCTTGCACGTGGCCGACCTGATTGACTCGGGTTCGATTCCTCCGCCCCTCTCGGAGAGACCAGCAGGTTACCAAGAGTATCTCTCGCCTGCATGGCAAAACCTGGCAAGCTCCCCGTGACGTATTCGATATGCCAAACACAGTAACAACAAGTCTCACAATGGAGACGTTACTGGGCCCACTCGAGCAAGTCAATGAACAACGGAAGGACAGTGACAGTGACAGTGTGAGAAGTCTTTGCGCCAGTAGATGTAAAACAGCCTCTGTGCACACAGGGTGGGCTGTTTTGGCCCATAGTAAGGTTTCTGGCCCCTTACATAAAGCAGTTGTGTGCACTGCTGGATAGGAATTGGATTCTCGGTAATGGCTAGCTCTTACTCCTGCTAATGAAACTGTTCCAGAAGTGGACATGGGATTTATTCTGGTGTCGGCATATTGTGGATTTACAGGGCTGGAGTGCTCAGCAGCCACTCCCAGCAGTGCTCACGGGACCATGAGGGGCTGAGGCCTGAACCCAGAGCTCTTGCATGCACGGCATGTGCTGTAGCCCTTGAGCCAGCTCTCAACTCTTGAAGTCACTGTGTCCCCACAAAGCATGTGCTTCAGGACCCCCAAGGCAACTCAGAGAACAGAGACACTGGGAAGATACTGGGGGATGCAGACGCAGGCAATCAGGGAAGACTCCCTGAAGAGGAGGCTTCTGATCCCAAATGGGGAAAGGCAGAGCAGGAGCACTGAGTGGGGCGGAAGGCCAGGAGTGAGCATCTAGAGAGGGTGCTCCATGCAGACGCGCCGGGCCCTTGGGGACTGGCCTTCAGAATGGTCTCAAGTGAGAATCTGGACCCGAATCGTGGAAAACCCCACGGAGGCATTAGTGATTCTGGCTGAAGCTGAGGGGTTTCCCGATCTCCGGACCTGGACTGGGGTGGGCGTGGGGGGTGGCTGGCCTCACCAGCCTCTCCTCTCCTCTCTCCTCCCCTTCCCGTCTTCTCCTCTCCCCTTTTCCCTCCTCTGCTCTCCTCCCTTCCCCCTTCCCTCCCCTCCTCTTCCTCTCCTTGCAGGAAGGTGTACGAATTCCTCTCCTCATTCATCACCTCCGGGATGCGCTTCCTCCTCAACCAACAGGTGCAGCCGTCGTGGCAGGGGATGGGACAGTCAGTGGGGGGACAGTGCCCTCTTGGGAAGCCCCTGACCCTGCTCCTCACCCCTAGATCTGCCCGGTGCTCTTCCATGCCGGCACGGTGCTGCTCAACTCCCTCCTGGAAACGGTGCCTGGTGAGTGGGCATTGGGGGTGGTGGGCTCTGAGCCGAGCTGGGGGGTGAGGAGGCTGGGGAGGACTCAGCTGCTCAGACAAGCACCTCCAAGCTTGGCTGTGGAAGAGCCCTGGGCCCCCAGACGTCCCTTGGAAGTTCTCTCAGGCTTGCCTGGTTGAGTCCTTCGGGGACGGCTGTGAAGGTGGCCAGGGGGCAGTGGTCAAGTTGGCGGTGGGTTCCCTGGTGTCCATGGCCTGGTGCTTGTTTTTAGGTGCTTAGTTCCCATGTGTTTCCTCTGCCTAGGCTGTGTCAACTTAATTGGTCTTGGGTTTTTTGTTTTTAATCTTTTTAGATTTTCATTTTATTTATTTGTTTTGCTTTTTTGGGTCACACCCAGTGACGCTCAGGGGTTACTCCTGACTCTGTGTTCAGGAATTACTCCTGGAAGTGCTTGGGGGACCATGTGGGATGCCGGGGATTAAACCTGGATCAGCTGCATGTATGTCAAACGCCCTCCTCACTGTATTATCACCCCGGCCCAGAGATAGAACACAGTTTATGCTCTCATTTGCCTATTTTTTTGGCTTTTTGGGTCACACCCAGCGATGCTCAGGGGCTACTTCTAGCTCTGCACTCAGGAATGACTCCTGGCGGTGTTTTTGAGGGGCCCGGGATTGAACCCAGGTTGGCCACATGCAGGGCAAACACCCTACCCACTGTACTATCCGGCTTGGTTTTTGTTTTTTTTTTTTGTTTGTTTGTTTTGTTTTTTGATGGAGCCACACCTGGTGCTTGGGACCACATGGGATGCCAGGGATCAAACTGGGGTGGGCCGCGTGCAAAGCATAGGCCCTCCCCACTGTGCTGTCTCTCCGGCTCCCCAGGCTGTGTCAACTCTGAAGTGAGGCCCCGCAGCTCAGAGTCAGGAGTGAGCTCTAAGCACTGCCTGGTGTGGCCTCAAAACAAAACCAAAAGAGTATTTCTATTCCCCCCTTTTTTTTTTACTACACTCAGTGGTACTCAGGGCTTACTCCTAGCTTTGTGCTCAGGAGTCACTCCTGGTGGTTTGGGGGACCATATGCGATATAGGGAAATGAACCCGGGTCAGCCATATGCAAGCAAGGCAAGCACCTTACCCACTGTATTTCTTTTTTTTTTTTTTTTTTGCCTTTTGGGTCACATCCAGCAATGTTCAGGGGTTACTCCTGGCTCTGCACTCAGGAATAATCCTGGTGGTGCTCAGGGGACCATATGGGATGCCAGGGATCGAACCCAAGTCGGCCGTGTGCAAGGAAAAGGCCCTACCTGCTGCATTATTGCTCTGGCCCCTGTACTATCTTTCTGGCCCCACGCTAGTCCCCTTTTGTGGCTGATAAACTGAGGCCCAGAGAGGATGACCACCTCACCCAGCATCACACAGCTCTGAGTGATGTCTGTCCCTCCCCGCAGTGCACAGTCCCGTGGACAAGCACGTGGGCATCGACTACTCCCTCCTGAAGGACCCGGTGGTCTCCGTCAGCAATCTGGACATGGATTTCCGGGTGAGCTCTCTCTCCCCTTGGTGTGCCCCCCCGCCCCCCGCCCCCCGCCCCGTCTGACCTAGCCGGCTCCCTCTCCCTTCCCTGCATTGCCTGTTTGGGGGAAGCACACCCAGGAACACTCGGGTGCTGCGTCCGCTGGGGCCGGGGGAGCATGTGGTGGGACACTGACCCCGGCCTCCTGCCTGCCAAGTTTGTGCCCGAGTGCTCAAGTCCCCTCCCCCCACCCCGCGCTGCCCGCTTACCTTCCATCATTGGGCTCTGCATTTTGGGTTTTGGTCCACACACTCTGGTGCTCAGGGCTCATTCCTGGTAGGACTCAGGGACCCTATGGGGATGCCAGGGATCGAACCCAGGTCAGCTGCATGCAAGGCAAGCGCCCTAGTCGCTGTACTAGGGCTCCAGCCCCACAGGGCTCTGCAGAGGTCACTCCATTGAAATAAAACGCCAACTCGCAGAATTCGGGCCAACCTCCTTGGTACTCTTGTCTGGCCCCATCTTTCTAACTTCATCCGGCTCCTTTTCCCAATCTGCCCCTTCTCGGGCCCCAGGACGTTTGCTCATGCCGTGCCTGTCCCGGTCCCCTAGAAGTTGCTGCTCACATGATCTCATTTGCTCACTTACCGCCTTAGTTGCATGAACCGAAGCACGTGGCTTAGCCTTTCTGTCTCCTCGCAATCTTTGCATGGGAGCAGGACAGGAAGACGTGCCTAGGCTTCATGGGTGTTCTCCACGGCCTGGGTGCAAGCTCTGCACGAGGGAGGCTTGGGATAGAGCCTTGGGACCACATGGTCCCCGAGCACCCCCCTGAGTGACACAAGCATGGTGCCAGGAGTGGCCCCTGACCATCACTGGGTGCGACCCCAGCCCACTCCCCCACCCCAAACATAAAAGAACGTGTGTCTCCTGGGGTTGACTCCTGGACCAAAGGGAGGGTTATGGGCAGTCAGTGGGGGGGGGGGGGAATTGATGAACAACGGGAGGACAGTGACAGTGACAGTGACATTGTGAGAAGTCTTTGCGTCAGTAGATGTAAAACAGCCTCTGTGCGGGGAAAGCACTTTTTTTTTTTTTTTTTTTTTTTTTGCCTTTTGGGTCACATCCAGCAATGTTCAGGGGTTGCTCTGCACTCAGGAATAATCCTGGTGGTGCTGACCACTCGGGCTGTCCCACCGACGAGCTGTGAAGGCCACCAAAACGGCAGGGTCCGGCCTCCCTTCTCCAGCCGGGCTGGGTCGCTCCGGTCACCCACACCCGCCTTTGTGCGTGTGGTTCCTGCATGGGCAGCCGTGGACCCTGCTAACCTGCTCACCCCGGGGCCCGGTGCAGCCCCAGACCCTGCTAACCTCACCCTGGGGCCGGGTGTAGCCCCAGACCCTGCTAACCTGCTCACCCCAGGGCCGGGTGCAGCCCCAGACCCTGCTAACCTGCTCACCCCTGGGCTGGGTGCAGCCCCAGACCCTGCTAACTTCACCCTGGGGCCGGGTGTAGCCCCAGACCCTGCTAACCTGCTCACCCCAGGGCCGGGTGCAGCCCCAGACCCTGCTAACCTGCTCACCCCTGGGCTGGGTGCAGCCCCGAACCCTCCTAAACTGCTCACCCTGGGGCCGGTGCAACCCTGGACCCTGCTAACCTGCTCACCCCGGGGCCAGTGCAGCCGCGGACCATTCTGCCCACTCAACCCGGGGCCCGGTGCCAGCTGCCCGCTGGCTCCCCTGACCCCACCCCTGCCCCTAGGGCTCCTTCTACCCACTGTCCGAGGAGACCTGGCGCCTGCGTAACCAGGCCGTGGAGCCGCAGCTGCAGGAGGAGGAGCGCATGGTGTACGTGGCCTTCTCTGAGCACTTCTTCGACTCGGCCCTGGAGAGCTACTTCCGGGCAGGGGCCTTGAAGCTGTCGCTGGTGGGGGACAAGGTACGACCGGGGCTGCTGGAGGGGGGGCTGGGAGGGCACGCCCACCCGAGGCCGCCGCCTCACCCTGACGATGGCCCCGCGCAGGTGCCCCATGACCTGGACATGCTGCTGAGGGCGTCCTACATTGGAAGCATCGTCCTGCTGGTGAGTGCTGGCAGCGGAGAGCGGGGCTGGGGTTGGGGGGCATTGTGACTCGGGGGTGGCACATGCTTCACCCCAGAACGGGTCCCGGAGAACAGAGGGTTTCAAACTTCTTTGACCTACTGCCTCCTTTACAGGAAAAAAAAAAAAAAAGGATAGTTCAGAGCAGAAGTACAGGGGCTGGAGTGATAGCATAGCGGGGAGGGAGTTTTCCTTGCACGAGACTGACCTGGGTTCGATTCCCAGCATCCCAGATGGTCCCCTGCACACTGCCAGGAGTAATTCCTGAGTGCAGAGCCAGGAGTAATGCTTGTGTATCGCCAGGTGTAACCCAAAGAGCAAAAAGAAAAAAAAAAAACAGTGGAAGTACAGTGGGTACTGTGTAGGCTTGTGCTACACACGGCCAAGCCAGGTTCCATCCCCAGCACCCCCTATAACGGTCCCCCGAATTCCCCAGGAGTGATCCCTGAGCAGAGTCAGGAGTACGTCCTGAGCCCCTCTGGGTGTCACCCTCCCCCCACCAAAAAAGATAAAAACAGAATAAAAAGACTCAGTAAGTAAGCCCCCTCCCTCCCAATCCACTTTCTCTAAGTGAGCTAGAAAGCAAGCACCCCCCTCCCATAGACAAGGGCTATTATGTCCCTGCGGCCACCCACCATTTTACTGTCCCCAGGGACAACAATATCCCCCACTTTGATAGACACTGGTGTAGACAGATGGCCAGGTCCCACATGTCCCCATGGCATGCGTGTTTACACGATTCTGTGTTCTGGAGCTGGGGTTCACTGCAGCATATTTCTGCTTATTTCCTGTTGCTCCGTGTGTGTGTGTGTGTGTGTGTGTGTGTGTGTGTGTGTGTGGCGGGGCCAGGGCACGTGATAGAAAAGAGAAGTACATCAGTGATCATTTAGACCTGGCTCAATTCTGTACGTCCATCCAGAGCTGGGATCTGAACATGAACTTGACCTGGGTGATTCTGTGGGATCACACGGGCTTCTCTCCACCCTCCCTCGAGGGGCTGTCACGAGAATGGAAGGAATGAAGCTGTAAAGGCAGTAACATGGTACTTGGGGGAGGCAGAGCTCAAAGCCACCAGTACAGCGGGGAGGGTGTCTGCCGTGAACCCAACTTGGGTCCTTTTTTTTTAAAAATTTATTTATTTATTTTTGACTTTTTAGGGTCACATCCAGAGATGCTCAGGGTTTACTCCTGGCTTTGCACTCAGGAATCACTCCTGGCTGTGCTGGGGGACCATATGGAATGCCGGGGATTGAACCCGGGTCGGCCACATGCAAGGCAAACGCCCTACCCGCTATACTATCGCTCTGGTCCCCCACCTTGGGTTCTATCCCTGGCATCTGGTTCTCCTGAGCCTGCCATGGTGTGATCCCTGGGCACAGAGCCAGGAGTAAGCCCTGAGCACCGCTGGGTGTGGCCCAATAGGAAAAAAAAAAGAGCCACAACCTACCATGCTGTTACTGTCCTCACCGCCGTCCTCAGACTCAGCTGCCGTGAACTCTGCAGCCTAGTGACCTAGTTCGTAGTCTAGCTCTTGGCCTGATTGCATCACCAAGCAGTGGCTTGACCTGTCTGTGCCTGGATTTCCCCAGCTCAAAAATGGGTATGCTGGGGTCGGAGCAGAAGTACAGCAGGAAGCGTTAGCCTTTCAAACAGGGCTGGCCCCGGTTCAATAATTCCCAGCATCCCATGTGGTCCCTAAGTCCCACCAGGAGTGATCCTTGAGCACAGAGCCAGGGGTAAGCCCCGAGCATCACCGGGTGTGGCCCTGACACCCCCTTCCAAAAAAGGTATGTCTTCCTCCCACGGTGATGGGAAGGTTGAAATGAACCCCCACGCATGACATGTTTGGTGGAGAGTGAGTGAGTGAGCAGTTGGTCCGTGCGGGAAGTTTTTGAGTTGATCCTGGTGATTGTCGGTACGTAGTTAGCAGAAGCTGTTCCCGAGGCGTCTGCTTGGAGCTTGGAGATGAATGGTGAGAAGCGGAAGCAGGAAGAGGGGCTAGAGAGAGTCTAGCGGGTAAGGCGCTTGCCACGCATACACCCCCTCGTAGGTGCCTCCTAGGAGCCTGCCAGGAGTGATCTCAGAACACAGCCTGGCCCAGCCGGGTGGGGCCCAGGAAGAGAACAGAGAAAAGCTTGTTCCTTGCTGGGAGTTGCTTGCTTGCAAGGCTTGGGTTGGCCTCCCTGTGCTTGGACCCCGAAGCCCCCTCTGGGGAGAGATTCCTAAGCACCAAGTTGGCCCGAAAACAAACAGGAAAAGGGGCTGGAGCGATAGCACAGTGGGTAGGGCGTTTGCTTTGCACGCGGTAGACCCGGGTTCAATCTCCGGCATCCCATATGGTCCTCTGAGCACCGCCAGGAGTGATTCCTGAGTGCAGAGCCAGGAGTAACCCCTGAGCATTGCTGGGTGTGACCCAAAGAGCAAAAAAAAAAAAAAAAAAAAAAAAATCAGGGGCTGGAGAAATAGCGCAGTAGGGCATTTGCCTTGCACCTGGCTGACCCAGGTTCGATTCCCAGAATCTCATATGGTCCCCTGAGCATCGCCAGGAGTAACTCCTGAGTGTAGAGCCAGGTGTGACCCCTGTGCATCACCGGGTGTGACCCAAAAAGCAAAACAAACAAACAAACAAACAAACAGGAAAAGCAGGAAGAGAAGGAAGGAGGAGTTCTCAGAAACAGTCGTGCCTGGTGCGAGTGAAATGAGGCTCTCTGTTGCCGGTTGGGGAAGTGGGGTCCGGGGAGCGGGGGAACTGGCTTTCCTCCGGGGCTTCTAAGTGACCAGAGCTGGGGGCTGTCCCCAGACCCCTGCAGTGATCGACTCCCCGCTGAAGCTGGAGCTGCGGGTCTCCGAGCCCCCGCGCTGCACCATCAAGCCGACGGGCACCACCGTCGCGGTCACGGCCACCGTCACCATCGCCTTGGTCCCACCCAACCAGACCGAGGTCCAGCTGTCCAGCATGATCATGGTGCGGGTATCACAGTGGGGGCTGCCGAGGGCTGGGGTGGGGGTGCCCACAGCGCTCGGGTCACACAGTCGTCCCTGTCTGACCCTTGTGTGCAGGACGCGCGGCTCAGTGCCAAGATGGCCCTGCGCGGGAAGGCCCTGCGCACGCAGCTGGACCTGCGCAGGTAGGTAGGCGGGTGGGTCCCCCAGCACTCTGGGGGGCTCCGGAGCGAAAAGCTACCAGGGTAGCAGGGGGTTTCTTGGCAAATGCCTTGTTTTTTTTTGGGTCCACACCTGGTGATGCTCATGCAGGGGTTGTTATTCCTGCTCCTGTTCTCTGTGTGCTTGGCGCTCAGGAATCACTTCTTTTTTTTTTTTTCTTTTGCTTTTTGGGTCACACCCAGTGATGCTCAGGGGTTACTCCTGACTCTGCACTCAGGAATTACTCCTGGCGGTGCTCGGGGGGACCATATGGGATGCTGGGAATCAAACCCGGGTTGGCTGCATGCAAGGCAAACGTCCTACCTGCTGTGCTATCACTCCAGCCCCTCAAGAATCACTTCTGGCAATGCTGGGGGGCCCCATGGGATGCCAGGGATCGAATCCCGGGCGCTATGTGCAAGGCAGTGGCCCTGTCGGCAGTACTCTCTGGCCCCAGGGTGAGTGTGACTTGGCTGCCACCAGGAGGCAGGCGAATCAAACAGACCCTTATGTCCACTGTGAGGTCACCGCTGGGAGAGGAGCCAGAGGGCTGGACCAGGCACTTGGCGCTGAGATTCCCAGGTTTGGTCCCCTAAGTACCATGAGTGCTCAGAAAGGAACAGAGAAGAGAAAAGAACTTGGGTGCCCTGCAGGTGGCAGACCTGGGTTGGATCTCTGGCACCAGACTTTTTTTTTTTTTGCTTTTTGGATCACACCCAGTGATGCACAGATGCACAGGGGTTAGGTTACTTTTGGCTCTTAGGAATGACTCCTGGCGGTGCTTGGGGGACCATATGGGATGCCGGGGATTGAACCCGGGTTGGCTTCGTGCAAGGCAAACGCCCTACCCACTGTACTATTGCTCCGGCCTCACTTTTTTTTTTTTTAATTTGCTTAGTATTTGTCAGGAAATAAGCACTGTAAATTCTGGGTTTTGTCTGAAAGCCACACGTGGTGGGTGTGGGGCTGCTCCCAGCAGTGCTCAGGGCTTGGTGCTGTGGGGAGAACCCGAGCTTCCAGTGTGTGTACTCCCGTTCCCTCTGAGCTCGTCACAACGCACCAACAGTCACCAGCGTGACACCCTTGCCGCCCTAGGAAGCGCTTGGCCCAGTACAAACAGCACGCTTGGGGGCCAGGCAGGGCACAAGCCTTCTTGGGGTCCATCCCTAGCACCCCACCCCCACCTCCAGCAGACTTGGAGAAAGGAAGCCCAAGGAGGGGGAAATGACTGTCCCAAGGCCTTTCACCGGCTAAGACCAACTCAGAGCCTGGGATGGAGACACCACATGGATGGGGGGCATGGGAGGGGCAGGGGTGCTCCCAGGGCACGTCTTTCTCTGCACAGGTTCCGAATCTACTCGAACCAGTCTACACTGGAGTCGCTGGCCGTGAGTGGGGAACAGATAGGGGGCGTGTGTGTGGGGGGTGCTGAGGCGAGGGTCCGAGGAGGGTGAGGGGCAACCCAGCGAGGCCCTGACCTTGCTCGCGCCCCCTCCCAGCTCATCCCGCTGCAGGCGCCGCTCAAGACCATGCTGCAGATCGGGGTGATGCCCATGCTGAATGGTAGGGCTGCAGGGGGGCGGCGGGGTGGGGGGCACAGAGGGGTGGGCGGCCGCCGTGCCTGGGCTGAGCCGGCTCTCACACCCCACAGAGCGGACGTGGCGTGGGGTGCAGATCCCCCTCCCCGAGGGCATCAACTTTGTCCACGAGGTGGTGAAGAACCATGCGGTGAGTGGGGGTGACGGGGAGGGATCCCCCCACCTCAGCTCCGAGGGCTCCCCCGTGCCCGCCTCCCAGCTCCCTCCCACCCTGCCCAAGGCACTGGTCACTTTGCCACGCCGCCCCAAGTCAACTAAATCCTTCCCGTCTTAGCTAAGAGGCCCCCCCTTGACCACAAAGGCCGACTCTTCAACCTTTATCTGAGCACCCTTTACAATTTTTTTTGCTTCTTGGGTCACACCCGATGCACAGGGGTTACTGCTGCCTCTGCACTTGGGAATTACTCCTGGCGGTGCTCAGGGGACCCTATGAGATGCTGGGAATCGAACCCGGGTCTGCCGCGTGCAAGGCAAACGCTCTCCCTGTTGTGCTATCACTCCAGCCCCTTTACACAAAGTTTTAAGAACCACTTTGCGGGCCAGAGAGGGAGTAGAGTGCAGAGGGCACTTGCCTTGCCTGTGGCTGACCCGGGTTCGATCCCCGCCACCACTAGTGGTCCCCGGAGCCCCACCAGAAACAATTTCTGACTTCTGGAGGGTCCCCTTGAGGTCTGGCATCAGTGACGGAACCCCCTCTCTGCCCCCGCACAGGGCTACCTGACCATCGGGGCTGACCTCCACTTTGCCAAAGGGCTACGAGAGGTGATCGAGAAGAACCGGCCCGCTGGCCCCAGGGGCCCCAGGACCACCAGTACCGCCAGTACCTTACCACCCTCTGCGGCCGCTGCCTGAGCCCTCCCCGGCCCTGGGCAGCCACATCAGTCGGGACTGCAGTTCCTCCCTATTCACCTCCTCACCAGTCCCCGGGGCCACGGAGGAGAAGACAGAGGCTTAACCTGGACCCAATTTAATTCCATAATCACAGTCTGGCCAGCCGGCCACCCAGTCCGGCCGTCTCCTTCCCTGGGGCTGTCCTGAGCTACTGTCCTCCTGGGACTCTTCAGTGTGTTCTAGAAGCAGGAGGCGAGGGGGGGGGGGTGGGGGTCAGCCCCTGGGGGCCCCCGATCCCCCCGGCTATCAGGAATAAAGTGCGGGTTTCCCCGGAGCTGTCTGAGGCACTGGGGTGCAGAGGGGCGGTGGCGGGGGCGCAGCTCTGGCAGCGGGGCTGGTCTGCATAAAAAAGCGCCTCCTTCGGGGCGGGATGGGCTGGCTCTGGCTCTGGCAGCGGCTGGGGCTGGCCTCAGTATGGTTCCTTGTTCAGGAAGCGGGAGAACATGGTGAAAGCGGCCTGAGGCTTGTCCGTGGGGACCATGTGTCCGGCACCCTGAGGAGTGAAGCTTTGTGAGGTCTGCCCCCCACTGCCCAGCCCCTCCCCCCCGAAGCTGCGCCCCCCCCCCCGGAAGCTGGCCCCCACCCCTCCGCTAGCCCCCCCCCAGCCCACCTTGATGGTGAGAAAGGAGATGTTGGAGAACTCCTTGACGAAGCCCCCGATCTGCTCTCCACTGTCCCCATAGTCCACAAGCCAGGGCCGCCGCTGGACCTCCATCTGCCCGGGCAGTGAGACTGAGCAGGGGGACCCCAGCCCCCCGCCATTCCCACCCCCACACCAGCCTCCCAGCTCCACAGATCTCAGGGCCTGGAGCTCCGCCAGCTTTGCTCAGGCTGCCCGAGCCAAGCCCTTGGGCACCACCCCTGGCTCCTGCCACCAGCCTTGGCCGGCCACGGCCACGACCGACCCACCTTCTGGTTGAGGGAGTCCACGAACCACTCATCCCCCAGGAAATTGCAGGCCATGTCCACGTCCCCGTTGTACAGCAGGATCCGGTATTTCTGCAGCGGGACAAGGGGCGAACCCAGGGGTTCTAGGATGAGCCCAGCCTGGGCCCCGGGCCAAGCTCCCCCCAAGGGGACTCCAGGCGCCTGCCCGGGCCAACAGCCCGAGCCAGCAAACACGGGCGTGCTGCCGGCTTCCTCTGTGCCCAGCGCTCTGTAAATGCTTAATCCACATTGGGCTTTTTTCCTGGGGGGAGGGGGTGGAGCAGAGAGGGCAGCTACCCCCTGCTCATGGCCTGAGGGCCACTCAAGGTTCTCGGAGGATCCCATGGCACCAGCCAGCCCTCTGCCCCCCAGGAAGATCCCATCTTTAGCCCAGAGATGGGGAAGTCAAATGTCCAATAGTCATTTTTTTTTTTTTTTTTGCTTTTTGGGTCCCACCTGGCAATGCACAGGGGTTACTCCTGGCTCATGCACTCAGGAATTATAATCTCCTGGCAGTGCTCAGGGGACCATAGGGGATGCTGGGAGTCGAACCCGGGTCGGCCGCGTGCAAGGCCAACGGCCTCCCCGCTGTGCTATGGCTCCAGCCTCTAGTTGAGATTCTTGCCTGGAGTCACATGGCCAGCGAAGGGATTTGCGTCTCAGAGGGCATGTGCTGACCACTCAGCCCCTAGCCAGCTCCTGCCCACCCCAACCTCCTTGGACTTATCCACAGTATTTGTTGTTGTTGTTAGGTTCTTGGGCCACACCCAGCAGTGCTCAGGGATCACCCTGGGCGGGGCCGGGGTCGACTGTAGGGGGTGCCCTGCCCCCCTGGACTCTCTCTGGCCCATCCACAGCAGATTCTGACCTTTCTCCTCCCCGTTAAGGCTGCCTGGCTGCGCGGACCCCTCCGTGCTCTACAGTAAAGCACCACGGGGCCGAGTTCAGGCAAAGGACATCACAACTGGGAGTTTCCAAGCCCCTGTTCACAGGGAGCCCTCCAGGGGCCCCTTGCCCGGCCGGGCTGCCCCCACCCACCTGCGTGGTGAGCAGCTTGAGGTACTGTGTGTTCATACTTTGGTACAGGCGGCGGTACTGCAGGTTCACCAGGAAGCTGCAGGAGCAAGTTGGGGGGGGGAGGGGAACGTCAGACAGAGCAGACAGGGAGAAGGATGAAACCCAGATGGGGATCCCGAGAGACATCCAGGCATTCAAGCATCTGCCTCGCCACCTCGCTGACCCGGGCTCAATCCCTGGCATTGCTGGGTGTGGCCCCAAACCCAAACACACAAACAGGATCAGGGAGGGGGGGATGGGTGGTGCAGAGGCTTTGCATGTGGAAGGTCTGGGTTCGATCCCCAGCACCAGATGGTCCTCACAGGTGACTCCTGAGCACCAAGCTGGGAGCAGCCCTTGACAAAAAAGTAGGAAAAAAGCCAGGCTGCAACCTCCAGGGTTGCTACTTTGGGGCGGGAGGAGGGACAGACACCTCCCTTGGAAAGGGGTAGGGACACTTTCTGGTGGCTACGATGAGTGGGGTGTAAATGGAGGTCATGTCGTACTCAGGGGTCAGCGGGTGTGAATCCCAGCTGTCAGCAGAGGGTGTGGAGGGCTGCAATTGTCCCTGCCTAGCGCTGGGTGTGACTCCAAAGCCAAGAACATGGTTTTTGTTTATTGATTCTGTGGCCACACCCGGCCACGCTCAGGGCTTACTCGGCACTCAGGAATTACTCCTGGTGGTGCTCAGGGAGATGCTATGGGATGCCAGAGCTTGGACCCAGGTCGGCGGTGGGGCGGCGTGCAAAACCAACGGCCCGCAGTACTCACGTCCCGGCCCCATCCCTGGACCATGTCTTAAAAGAACCGAACGGTTTGGGGATGTGTTTGGAGGCTTGCTTTGCATGCATGCAGCCCTGGGCACCATCCCCAGCAAAAAAAAAAAAAAAAAAAAAAAACACAAAGAAAGAGGAACTAGTAAATGGCCCCACGTGACGGCGGGCAGTCCTGGGGAAGGTCTCCCATGCTCACAAGTCCCCCGTGCCCCCCACTTCCCCCCTTGCTTTACTTGCACACGTCCCCGCGGTCCCTCCCGTGTCCCCCAGCTCACTTGCACATGTCCCAGCGGGGCAGCTGCTCGGGAATGTGGAGCGCTTTCCGCACGAACGGGTTGTTGAGGTAGGTGGAGGGGGCGGTGGTGTTGGTGCAGGGGGGGTCCATGCGCACCCTCTCCCCGGAACGCAGCAGGGCCTGGGGACACATTGTGGTGGTGGTGGGGGGGGAGGGGATAGGAAGATCAGGATCTGGGCTTCACGGCCCTGCTGGGACAGAAGGAAGGAGGGGAGGCTGGGGGGTGCGTACCTGATGCCATACCCTCTTCAGTGGCAGGCGAGTGAAGATGTTGCCCAAATCCTGGACCACCACGGCGTCCTTGTCGTACCTGAGAGCAAGCAAGGGAAGAGGGGGGGAGGGGAAAGTGGTGGTGACGGCCTCCAGAGTTGGGGTTGCTCTGGGGGGCGCAGACAGGGCGGCGGGCCTTACCTTACGTGGCCGGGCACGCCCCCGGCGCACGGGGCGTAGAGATTGTAGATGTTGAGGCCTGAGCTGCCCACGATGCGGGACACTTCCTGAAGCTGCAACGACACAGCCGGCCACCAGGTTTTACGGGACCCCCAACCCACCCTCCCCCCTCCCCCCATTTACCATGAGGCTAAGCGTGCACCCACATCACCTTACAGCATCACCCCCACCCCCCGGCTTTCCCCACGGGGAGACAGCTCAGTGGAAGGCCATGGCAGGCCCCGTCCGAAGGCCGCCACCCGCCACTTCCTGGTGCCTGGCCCTGAGGAACCCTGACGGTGAAATGGACGGTGCCTTGCCCAGCTCTGGGCCTTGGCCGGGGTCAGCAGGGTGGAGCTGGGGAAGATAGTACAGCGGGGGAGGGCTTTTATTTGCCTCACTAATGGCCGGCCCGAGTTGGATCCCCGGCATCCCATCCGGTTCTCACCACCCCTAAAGAAGCCCGCCGGGATTAATTCCTGAGTAAGGAGCCCGGAGTAAGCGCTGAGCACCGCCGGGATGGCCCCCAAACAAGAGATGCTATGAAAGTCGCAGGAGGGGGTGATGGGCACTGTGGGGGCGTGGCCGGGGGATGGCAAAGGACACAAAGGTGCAGGATGGGAGGCAAATGGCAGTGGGGACACAGATGCTGCCCACGTCCCCAGGGATGCGGATGTTGTGGGGAGACACTCACACTGGCCACGCATTCCTGATCCTTGTTGTCGTAGAAGTTACACTTGTTCTGCGAACAGCAGTGGGTCTGCAGAGAAGACCAGAGCCTGGAAGAGGTCAGAGTGCACGTGCTGAATGAAGCCCCTGGCGGGCCAGGTGGACCCTCGCCCCCGATTGCCAGGGTACTGCCCGCTGCCCTCTCTGACCATCAATTTTGATGACTCTGCCTCAGCTTCCCAGCACCAAATTCTCTCAGAAACTCCAGCCCCCACCTCGGGCCCTAAGCTGGGCAAAACCCGGGGTATGTGCCTCCGGACCCGCGCCATCAGGGGGCTGCCCATACCTGTTCCCCAGAAGGCCGTGGTAGTAGGCGAAATACACCAGCGAGTTGTCATTCTGCTCGTAGGAAGAGAGTCCATTGCCCACAGCCAGTCCCTATGAACATGTGAGGTGCTCAGTTCCTCTGGGGGGAGGGGGGGCGGGAGAGACGGTGCCTCCCGTGACCTCCACCCTGACCTCTAGCAATCCGGAAGTGGAAACCCTGGTTGGTTTGTGGGGGTGGAGGGAGGGGGTGGCACTCAAGGACTGGTGCTGGCAGCCCGGCTGGAAGGCGGGTCGGCAAAGGTGGTCGCCTGCCAGGGTGCGGTGTTTGTGAGGCCGGTGGCCGGGAAGGCCCCGGGGCCGAGCTGGCCACCTCCCTAACCAGCAGGCGTCCTTGCCTCCTCACCTGAAGGTTCATGCTGGGGTCCTGCATGACCAGCACGGCCAGGGTGGGGATATAGATGCCGGCATAGCTCTCTCCTGTCAGGAAAAGCGCGTTGTCCTTGTACTCCGGGAACAGGCGGAAGAAATCTTGAAGGGCCTCAAAGTTGCTCTGCGCAACCTGGGGTGGGCAGGGGAGAGGGCATCAGGGGGTTCTGGGTGACCTGGGGCCGTCAGGGAAGAGGGGATCCGGGTTCTGGACAGCCTGGGGTGGGCAGGAGAGAGGGCATCAGGGGGCTCTGGGTGACCTGGGGTGGGCCAGAGGAAATCAGGGGACTCTGGGGAGCCCGGGGTGGGCCAGAGAGGGAATCAGGCTTTGATATCTGAGCTGCACAGAACCTTAGAGCGATCAATGCCAGGCGCCTCTCTCGATGTAAGGGGAAGTGCTTTGGCCAAGAGCACCACACAGGGCCTGGAACTGGCCCAAACAGTGACACATGCCAGCCTCCACAGAGGGCCTGGAACAGTCCCAGACACACACACACACACACACACACACCTAGACATATCTTGGAGTCATTGGTGGAATAGGAGAAACACACACACACACACACACACACACACACACACACACTTCAGAGTCATTGGTGGAATAGGAAACACACACGCACCTAGAGTCTTTGGTGGAATAGGAAAAACACACACACACTTCAGAGTCATTGGTGGAATAGGACACACACACAAACACCTCGGAGTCACTGGTGGAATAGGACACACACACACACACACCTCAGAGTCATTGGTGTAATAGGAGACACACACACACACACACACACACACACCTCGGAGACATGGGTGGAATAGGAAACACACACACACCTCGGAGTCATCGGTGGAATAGGACACACACACACACACTCCGACTTACCTCGGAGTCATTGGTTGCATAAAACTTGTCGCTGGAATAGGAGAAGCCCACCCCGGCCGGGGACTCGAGGTATAACATGTTGGCGATCTAGAGGGAGCAGAGGCGGCACCGAACTTGCAGCGGCCTCCCCGGGCGCCCAGGTCCCCCCTCCCCCCCTCCTGCAAGGACCCCGCGCAGCTCCCCAGTACCAGGTTCCAGGAATACGGGTTGTACTCCAGGGTGACACCATCTGGCTGCACCTGAGAAACGGAAACAAGGCTGGTGAGAGGCACGGGGGGCACCGCACCTTGGCTTGCCATCCGGGCCGAGCCCGGGGGAGAAGAGAGCGCCAGGGCAGCGGCGGGGAGGAGGGGGAGAAGGAACTGCACCCCCCCCGCGGTGCCCCGGGGGACCCCGAGCGCGCGCGGGGGAGCGGGGCGCCCCGCACGCACCAGGAAGGGGCCGTGCTCGGTGAGGAAGCCGTCCAGCGAGCTGCAGCCGGGCCCGCCGTTGAGCCAGAGCACCAAGGGGCTACGCTGGGGATCCTTCTGGGCCTCCACGAACCTGGGGGAGGGGAGGGGGCAAGGACCGGCGCTCAGGGGCCGCGGCTCCCGCGGAGAGGAGGGTCCTGGGGCGTCCCCCCGCCACCACCACCCCGCCCGGGGCTGGGGGTCCAGACCAGTAGTGCAGTCTCTTGGAGCCCGTGCCCCGGAGGTAGCCCGAGTACTGGCGGAAGCTGGGCTGCTTGGCCAGCCCGGGCAGGCTCCGGATCTCGTCCCGCTCGGGGGCGGCCTGGCCGCGGGGCGCGCAGCTCAGCAGCAGCAGCAGCAGCAGCGGCGGCAGCAGCAGCAGCCGGGTCGGCGGCGTCGGCGCGGCTCGGACCATCTGCGCGGGCGGGAGGGGCGGGCGTGAGCCGATCGCGGGGCGCCCGGCCCGGGCTGGGGCTGGAAGGAAGCCCGGGGACCCCCCTCCTTGCCCGCCGGCCCACCGGCCGGCCGCCGGAGCACCCCCTCACCTCTGCGCCCGCGCGTCCTTGCGCTCTAGGAGGGGCCCGGGGGACGGGAAGTCATGTGGACTCGGGGTCACGTGGGCGCGGGCACCACGTGACCGGCTCGCCCCAGCGCGGGGACCCCCCCACCCCCCGCCGCCTCCTCCTCCCTCTCCTGGTGGGGGCGGGGGGAGGAGCTGGCGTGGGGACCGAGGCGGGTCAGGGTCCGCCGCGGCCCAGGTCACCCCCCGATCCCCCCTGGGCGCCCGCGATCGGGTCGCCCGCTGAGCCGGGCCGGGGGCTCCGCGTCTCCCGTGCACGGCGGGGATGGCCGAGTCAGCGGGGCAAGACCTCCCCCCCCCCGTGTCCCCAGCTGTCCCCAGCCGTCACCCAAAATAGCCCCAGGCGCGCGCCGGCCTGCGTCCCCGGCGGGCCATGGCTGCTGGCCCCGGGCGCGTGGCCCCGGGCGCGCCCCCGAGCCCCGCGCGCTCGCCCGAGCCCGCGCCCACCCGCTTCCACGCGGTGCACGGCGCCAACATCCGCGTGGACCCGTCCGGGACGCGGGCCACGCGCGTGGAGAGCTTCGCGCACGGCGTGTGCTTCAGCCGCGAGCCGCTGGCGCCCGGCCAGGTCTTCCTGGTGGAGATCGAGGAGAAGGAGCTGGGCTGGTGCGGCCACCTGCGCCTCGGCCTGACCGCGCTGGACCCCGCCGGCCTGGCCGCCGTGCCCGAGTTCTCGCTGCCCGACCTGGTCAGCCTCGGCCACACCTGGGTCTTCGCCATCACTCGCCATCACAATCGCGTGCCCCCCGCGGCGGCGGACCCCGGCCCACCCCCGCCTCTCCCGGGGGTCGCCGCCGCCGAGCCCTATCTGTGCATCGAGCAGTTTCGCATCCCCCGCGACCGCCTGGTGGGCCGCAGCCGGCCCGGGCTCTACAGCCACCTCCTGGACCAGCTCTATGAGCTCAACGTGCTGCCCCCCACGGCGCGCCGCAGCCGCCTGGGCGTTCTCTTCTGCCCGCTGCCCGACGGCACGGCCGACATGCACATCGTCATCAACGGCGAGGACATGGGCCCCAGCGCCAGGGGGCTGCCGGCCGCCCAGCCCCTCTATGCCGTGGTGGACGTGTTCGCCTCCACCAAGAGCGTGCGCCTGGTCCAGCTGGAGTACGGCTGTAGGTACCCCACCTCCTGGGCGGTCCCCTTGGCATCCCCTGGTCGGTCTCTTGTCGGGCCTTGGTCAGACCCGCGTTGATTTAGAAGTTGTGTGTCTGTGGGGCTGGAGCAATAGCACAGCGGGTAGGGCGCTCGCCTTGCACCCTAGGCCACCCCGGGTTCGATTCCCAGCATCCCATATGGTCCCCTGAGCACCGCCAGGGGTGATTCCTGAGCACAGAGCCAGGAGTAACCCCTGTGCATTGCTGGGTGTGACCCAAAAAGCAAAAAACAAAACAAAACAAAAAGAAGTTGTGTGTATGTGTGTGGGGAGGTGGTCTGGCTTCAAATTCCACCCTTGCCTGTCACCTTGGATTAGACAGACACTCCCTGACTCTGCGCCTTAGTTTACCCATCTTGGGTGTGATTGATTAGAATGTCCTGCACCTCCCCAATCTATCTATCTATATGTATATATATATATGTATTTGGTCTGGGGGGGGGGCCCACACCTGGTAATGCTCAGGGCTTACTCCTGTCTCTGCACTCAGGAATCATTCCTGTTAGTGCTCCAGGGACCCTATGGGATGCCGGGGATCAAACCCCGCTTGGCCGTGTGGAAGGCAAGCGCCCTCCCTGCTGTACTATCTCTCCAGCCCCTCCCCCCTCCCGATTATATTTCATTTCATTATTTTTCTCTTGGCTGCACAAGGTGGAACCCTGAACCTTCTGAGCTAAGTCTGCTGCCCTGAAATGTACCTGTTGTCTCACATAAATGTACAGGGAGGGCAGGGATGATTCTCGATCTAATCTCAGATCTGGGGCCTTGAGGACCGTGTGTCCTGAGCAGATAAATGCTCCTAGATCAGGGCACACGCACACCGGCTGAAAGGGATCAGGGGCTCCAGAGGGGGTGCGCTTGATCCCGGCCTGCCAGGCCTGAGGTGGGAACTCCGAGCCTGCACTGGGTGACGGGGCAGGGAGGGCGCGAGTGTCGTAACCGGGCTGCAGTGTGGTAACCTGCGCTGTTGTGAAAGAGGCTGTTATTGGAGCGCGTGCAAAGCACATGAAGCAGGCAGGGCCCGGAGAGGGGTTTGCCCAGGGAAGGAGCTTGCTCAGACGAATGGCCCAGGGGACACCAAGACCTAGAACTTGGCAGTTCCAACCTTCCCTCCTTCTCTCCACAGTGCCCTCCCTGCAGACGCTGTGCCGGGTCGTGATCCAGAAGAACGTGGTGCATCGTCTGGCCATTGACCGGCTTCACCTGCCCACAGGACTTAAGGATTTCTGCAAGTACGAGTAAAGGCCTGCATCGGCTCTGGGCCCTCTCGGAGGCTGGCCTCGCGGCTGCCAGCTCTCATAAAAAGTAATAAACGGTCGATGCTGAGATTGTTTCCTGGATGGTTTCCTTGCCCCTGAATCCTTGAGGGGTGTTTGTTGTTTGTTTGGGGTCCACAGTCAGGGGTGCTCAGGAGCCACTTCCTGGCTCATGGCTCAGAGCACCCTGTAGGACCGTAATCTGGGTCTTCAGCCTGGTGAGCTCTCCCTCCCATTCGAGGGATGCTTCTAGAGTCACGGGAGTCAGCAGGCCAGAGCATTTCAAAGAGAGCATTTGTGGGGGCTGGAGAAAGCACAGTGGGGAGGGTGCTTGCCTTGCCTGCTGTCGACTCTGGTTCAATCCCCAGCATCCCATATGGTCACCCGTTCACTGCAGAGTGATTCCTGAGAGCAAACCCAGGAATAAGTCCTGAGCATCACTGACTATGACCCAAAAACCAGAGAGAGAGCATTTTTTTTCTTTTTGGGTCACACCCAGCAATGCTCAGGGGTTGCTCCTGGCTCTGCACTCAGGAATTACTCCTGGCGGTGCTTGGGGGACCATATGGGATGCCGGGGATCGAACCCTGGTCAGCCGCGTGCAAGGCAAACGCCCCTACCCGCTGTACTATCATTCTGGCCCAAGAGAGCACATTTGAGATCTCTCACCTGGACTTGTGGTTCCACAGCACTAGAGTTTTCTTGCACATTTAAGGAGCTGATCCCTGGGACCCCTCTCCAAACTCTCATTTGATTTGCTGGTGGATTACATTCAGATACTGTTTATCTGGAAAGCTCTCTTGGCATGTCAAAGTCAGCCAGACGCGAGGGACATTACCTTGGAGCAAAGGTCTCGACTTTGGCACATGCTAGAATCACTTGAGCAACCTCGAAAAATCCACTAATTGGGGCTGGAGAGATAGTACAGCTGGAAAGACGCTTGCTTTGCACATAGCTGACCTGGGCTCGGTCCCTGGTACCATCTATGGTGCCCTGAGCCCTGACAGGCGTGATTCCTGAATTGTAGAGTCTGGAGTAAGCCCTGGGTACCACCCGGAATGGCCAGGAAGGGAGGGAAGGGGTGGAAAGGAGGGAACGGAGGGCAGGGCAGGGTAATTAGATCTGGCCCCGAGATTCTGATTTGATAGCCCTGGGACAAGGCAACACATCCGGATTTCCTAAAGCTTCTCAGAGATTCCAGTGTACATCCGGGCTGAGAAAGAAGAGTCCTTGAGCAACGAATTCGTTTCACAGACGAGAATCTGCAGAGCAGGAAGAGCCTGTGGTGATGAATTCAGAGGATCCCTCCTTCCTCCTGGGCCCCCGATCTCGCCCCTCCCTCTTTCTTTGGGCTCGCTGATCATTTCCTTCCATACATAGGATCTTGTTTCATTCTCATGTGGTCTGGGGCGGATGTGGGCAGCCATCACCCCCACTTTGCTAGATGAGGAAATAGAGGAACAAACTGTCCCAGTAAGGGCTAGAACCTAGAACCCCCCCAGTTCCTGGTCCCGGGCTCTCTTACCCTCAGCCCATTGTCCCATCCAGGTTCTAGAATGACCCAGACAATGCAGTGAGGCGGGTTCCGGTGTCAAGGCGACATTCTAGAAGGGTAGAGAGGACAGGGGGGGCAGATGACTGTGTCCTCACAAACAGGGGCTTGGGGGTGACCATGTCCTGTTTCATGGCTCCACAGTCTCACCTTTCTGGTCTTCTGTCGTCTGGCCCAGGTGAGAGAGGGGCCCCAGGACTAGAGTGGGGATAGCTGCCCCTCAGAAGTGACTTCCTGGCTCTGGGAAGGCGGTGGGGGGTGGTGGGGCTGGGTCCCACAGGGTATTTGGGGGCCAGCCCTGGAGTCAATTCTCTCTGAAGAGAAACCATGGTAAAAATGCCAGCCAGGCTCTCCCCACTCATTCATTCAGCCGACATTTTTCCAACACCTGCTTGGTGCTGGGGGTTGGGGGGTGCAGAAGTGAATTCCCAGCCCTCTTCTTCTTCCTTTTTGGTCTTTGGGTTGACACTCGGCAATGCTCGGGGGTTTCGCCTGGTTCTGCACACAGGAGTCACTCCTGGCGTTGCTCGGGGGACCGTATGGAATGCCGGGTATTGAACGTGGGTCAGCGGCATGCAAGGTCGATGCCCTCCCCCACTGTTCTATCGCTATCTCTCGCACCTCGTCAGCACCTAACGGCTCCAGTTCCAGCTCGGCTTGTCTGCCCTGCCCCTGAGAACTGATTCCCAGGCTGACCAAGAATAAGTAACGCTCCATCTCCTTCCTGTCTCTGCAGGTGAGGCTGCCATGCCAAGCCCATCCTTTGGTCACTCTGGTCCTGCAGAGCCGGCGATGGTGGCCCCTGGTGGACTAGCTCCACTGAGCCAGCAAGCCGAGCAGGTGACCCCTGCTTCCCAAGCCTGGGGACAGGTCCTGACAATGCCAGAAGCCAGGGGCTGCCCGGGGGGGGCTAGCTGGGAGCCACTTCGGCAGGAGGCTGGCCGATACGGCCCCAAATTGCCCCCTGGGAGGCAGCCGGAGCGCCTGGGCTGGGAAGACGCATGCTCCGGAAGCAGAGGGCCTCACCGGGGTGCCCCCCGCAGGCCCGGACCCCTGCTGCTGTGTGGGCTGTCGCCGGGGGTTCTGCCGGTGGCCTCTGAGGCCGGGGGAAAGGAGGCCAGCCCACAGCCTGACATCTGCATCCTTACTCTGGCCATGATGATCGCTGGCATCCCCACCGTGCCTGTCCCAGGCCTGCGGGAAGAGGACCTCATCCGGGCAGCTCAAACGTTTATGATGGCCCACCCAGAGCCCGAGGGGCCTGTGGAGGGGGCGCGGTGGGAGCAGGAGCATGCCCACCCAGCCCCCGGGCACACGTCCCTAGTGAGGCCCAGGAGAGGCCAGACTCCTGGCTCCTACTTGTAGCTGGATGAAATAGCACCAGACACAGAGGGTGGCTTCTCCGTATGGTTCTTGGGTAGACAGGGTCATGATGGGTGCCTGTGGCAGGGATGGGAATGTGGGGGGTGCGTGTTGAACCACTCCAGTGAACACCCCTTAGAATCTTCTGCGGGTGCTGGTCTGCCAGGAGACCTATCTCGTGTGACCAGCTGTGACGCGTATCTCCCCGAGAGAGGGGCATTTGTACTTTTTGAGAACACTGACACCCTTCTAGTAAGGCACCCGAAGCCAGGTGAATTCTCTTCTTGCATTCACTTCCCAGCCAGCTAAGGGCGGGTAGAACAGGAAAATGAACACCTGGTGTTTATTGGAGTGGGCAGGCCGGGTGATTGACACACTGGCTTTGCTCAGGGCTTCCGGTTCTACTCCTGGTGGGGCTCGGGAGACCCCTGTGGGGTCCCTGGGATTGAACCTGATCAGCCATGTGCAAGGCAAGTGTCCTCCCCGCCGTCCTGGAAAACGAACACGTGAGCACCTGGAGGGTGTCAGGCCCACTCTCCTTCATCTTAGCCATCCGAGCAGGTGGACAAACGGACACCGAGTGGTGACCCACACCTGAAGTTCTCCAGCCAGGAAAAGGCCTCCAAACCCCAGTAGGGTAGGGACGGGGACCCCAGGCAGCACTGTCTGAATCCCAGGACCTCTCTGGAGAGTTCCCGGGCCGGCAGCCTGGAGCAAACAAAACCCATTAGACCGGCGCTTGGAAGAGGCAACATTCAACTTTAATGACTGCAGGGAGGGGGCCAGGCGGACAGCAGGGCTCAGTACCACCCAGCATCTCTGCCGACTTCCTCCCATGAGCTTGAAGCAGGGAGCCCTCTCGGACAGGGCGCTGTGCACCCCAGGCCCCTGCCCACCCCATCTTCCCTCCCATCTTCAAGCAGGCATCAGCGATCACTCGGGCCCTTGAGCTCAGACTGGCCTGGGCCCTGCAGCAAACCCAAGGCCTCCCACAGGGCCAGCCCTGTGCTCCACTGCCGACTCCCATCCTTGCTCCCACCCCCACCCCCACCCAGTTTTGACCCGAAAGGTCATAAACAACACAGTAGCAAAACTCCAAGGGTACCTTCAGAGGCAGGAGGCTGCTGATGGGCAGCAAAGCCTCAAACAGTTTACTAACGGCCCCCTGACGGGGACCAGCTGGACACAGTTAAGATCCCAGCTGCCTGCGCGGGGGGGGGGGGGGGGGAAGCCTTGTCCCTTCTGGACCCAGGGGCTTCTGGAAGAAGGACAGTGAGGGTGAGCGCTGGAGCGCAGGGGGGCGGAGGAGAAGGGGCTCTGGTCACAGCTGGATCTGCTCGTAAGGGCCGATCCAGCTGTCGGCCAGTTCCCGCAGGGTACTGTAGCGCCGGGCAAACTCCTCCTGGCCACAGTGTTGGAGGAGCTGCCCCACCTCCTCCGTCAGGAGCGCCACGGCCAAGTGCTTGTCCAGGGCCTCGTTGCATTTGCTGCTCAGGACGTCGTCCAGGCTGGCAGCGCAGCCCGCGGTCCACGGAGCGGGCAGCATGTCCGGCTGGAGCACCTGCCCGCGGGCACTGAGCATGGCGAGGATGTGGCGGCAGGGCAGGTGGAAGGTCTGGTTGAAGTAGCAGCTGCAGCTGGCCGGGGGCTCGGCCTGTACCCGGTGCGTGTCCTCGAGGATCTGGATGTTCACCTGCTCCGAGCCCGAGCCGATGAGGTGCACGGATTTCTGGACCACCGCCAGCTCGCCCAGACACAGCCGGGCCGCCGGCCCCGTGCAGATGGCGTTGAGGGAGTGCTGGATGCGGGCCTCGACCAGCTGCCCGGGGCTCTCGGGGCTCAGGTCGGCAGGCTTCGGGCCTGGCAGGAGAGGGTCGGCCTGGCCGGCGGGGCCGTGCTTCACGGAGCGGAGGACGGCGGCTACCCCTTGCTCCACGGACGGGTTGGTGCCGAAGGCCAGGCTGAGGATGCGGGTGGTGACCTCCAGGCCCTGGAAGTAGCGGCTGCTCTCGGCGCGGCTTCGCCAGCGGTGGGCCAGCCAGATGCGGTCGTTGAGCAGCCAGTGGGCGTGGAGCTGGGGCAGCTGGGCGGCGGGCACGCAGGTGCTCAGGAGGGCGTGCAGCTTCCGCAGGTTGCCGGCTGTGGCCGAGCACATGGTGCTCCGCAGAGAGGCCAGCAGTGTCCGCTCCAGCGGCTGCTCCAGCGCCAGCTGGTAGAACTTGCCCTGGAGGAACTTACAGACGTGAAAGGCCGAGAGCAGGACTTCGGCGGCGGGGAACTCCATCGCCAGGGCGGGCACGGGGAGGAAGTGCGGGTCCACCAGGACGGTGCAGACGCGCTCCCAGGCCGGGTTACACCTCTTGAACACCTGGAGCATCTGGGCCAGGCCTTCGGCGTCCTCCTGGACAGGGATGGCGAAGTAGACGGCCCGGGCGAGATGACCCTCCAGCTGCACCCGCGGCCCGTCCACCAGGAAGGTATATAACACTTTGCCCCGGGGGTTATAGGTTCGGTGGATAAATAAGACCTCGGGGAAACGCGCAAAGACCCCCTGCATCGAGCAGCTCTGATAGTTCAGCGCCTCTAACTGGGCCGTCTTGCCCACCTGGTACAGCAGCAGAGGCGGGCGTGGGTCCTCCATCAGGAGCTCGTTCAGCATGGCCAGAGCCATGGGGGCCGCTGGGAAACGTCCGGAAGCCAAGGCCAAAGGGCTTCTCTCCGCAGGGCTGCTGACCCGGTGGGCTCCGTCTTTCAGGCGCCCACCGGATTGAGGCTGGAGGCTGGCCCGGAGTTCCGGGGTCTTGTTCCAAAGATGCGCCTGTGGAGAGGAACAGAGGCTTAAGGAAACCGAGGAGCTGGCTCAGGAACACTGACTCCCGGAAGAGGTGTTATAAGAACGTCTCAGGGCTGGGGAGAGACACAATAAACTTGTGAACACAGAGCTCTCAGCGAACGGACTCCTAGCCAAAACGGAATAAGCCGGGGAGTGAGTAGGTCTGCGTTAATCCCCCAGCTGAAGTGCCAGCCGGAGGGAGGTGGGGGATGAGGTCTCAGGAGGTGCGATCCCTTAAGCAGTGGGCCTAGGGGCTGGAGAGAGAACAGCTGGGAGGGCGCTTGCCTTGCAAGAGGCCAACCCAGGTTTGATACCCTGCACCTGAGCCCTCCAGGAGTGATCCCTGAATGCAGAGCCAGGAGTCAGCTCTGAGTGCCGGGGGTGTGTCCCCACCCTCTGGGGGGAAAAAAAAAGACATGGGATTTGTGAGGCCTAAATGGGGATGAAGACCAGAGCTGCAATTTTCTTTTCTTTATTATTATTAGTTTTTGCTTTTTTGGGTCACACCTGGCGATGCACAGGAGTTACTCCTGGCGGTGCTCAGGGGACCCTATGGGATGCTGGAAATCGAACCAGGGTCGACCACGTGCAAGGCAAACGCCCTACCCGCTATGCTATCTCTCCAGCCCAGAGCTGCAATTTTCTGGAATAACAGTTTTTTTTTTTTGGCTTTTCGGGTCACACCTGGCGATGCTCAGGGGTTCTTCCTGGCTTTGCACTCAGGAATCACTCCTGGCAGTGCTCGGGGGACCATATGGGATGCTGGGGATCGAACCCGGGTCGGCCGCGTGCAAGGCAAACGCCCTACCCGCTGTGCTATCTCTCCAGCCCAGAGCTGCAATTTTCTTGAATAAGAATTTTTGTTTGTTTGGGGGCACAGAAGTCAGTGTTCAGGGAACCATGGGGTATGGGGGATCGAACCCAAGGCTCCCCCACGAAACACGCACCGTAGCCCTTTGAGCATCTCCTTGGCCCTTAAAGAGCATCTTCTTTATCTGTAGAGCGATTCATAGTTACGAATCCCTTCCTAACATCCACTCTCTCCTTTGGTCCTGGGGGGCACACCCAGCTGTGCTCAGGGCTTACTCCGCAGGGTGCGCTGCTGACAGGGCTCGCGGGTACACTGGGGGGGCCGAGGATGGAGTGGAGTTGGCCTCCTGCAAGGCAAGCGCCCTCCCCGCTGTGGCTCACTAACGGGCACTTTTTTCTGTTCGGGGGCCACACCTGGCGATGCCCAGGGCTTATTCCTGACTCCACGCCCAGAGATCACCCCCCAGCAGTGCTGGGGAACCGCAGGTGTAGCATCCGCATGCAAAGCTCCACCCCACTTGACCATCTCTCCAGCGCCACGTGTGCCGCTTCTTCTGCCCCTGCATAAATTCCTGCACTGATTGCAATAGTTTGTTCAACCATTTCCCGCTATTTGACCCCACACCGGACTGCCCCCATTTTACAGATGGAAAACTGAGGCTCCCAGAGGCTCAGGGCTTTGCCCCCTGGCGCACTGTCAGTAGCTGGAAGCTGATGAGCCTGAGGCTTGGGAACCTGGGAGCTCTCCAGGGTACCTGAGGTCCGAACACCCGGGCAGGGGAAGGGACGTGGCCTCTGACCTTTCACCCTTAACCCCGGTGGGAGGATGCGGATGGCTGGCGTTCCAGCTCAGCGGCGGCGGGGACGTCGGCCTCCGCCCCCTGGGAGCTGTCACGGCGGAACGCCATCGCCAGCTGCTTCGCGCCTCCACCCCCTCGGAAATCACTCACCCACAGCTTGGCTCCGGCGCCATCTCTCCCCATTTGACCCTGCCTCTGACTCTGAGTGACCTCCGCGCCCGCCAACCCGGGCTCCGGCTGCGCCGTGACTCCAGCCAATGGCCTCCAGAGCTGGCGGGAGGGCTTCGCGGCCGCCGACCAATGGCAGCCCAGAGGCCGGTGGGCGGGCGCTGTTGCCAGCGTTACGAGGGGCTCGGCCCGCAGCAGCCAATGAAAGCCTGGGGATGCTGACGGGGTGGGGGGAGGGGCTGGGGGGGACGGGGGCGGAGGGGCGAATTGGATGGGGGGGGGGGGAAACGTGTGTGTGTGTGTGTGTGTGTGTGTGTGTGTGTGTGTGTGTGTGTGTTTGGGGGGAATCCTGGCACCAAGTTGGATCCGAGGATAGAATGTGTGTGTGTGTGTGTGTGTGTTTATGTGTGTGTGTGTGTGTGTGTGTGTTGGGGGAGGTGGAATGCTGGCACCAAGTTGGATCCGAGGATAGAATGTGTGTATGTGTGTGTGTGTGTGTGTGTGTGTGTGTGTGTGTGTGTGTTGGGAGGAGGCAGAATCCTGGCACCAAGTTGGATCTGAGGATAGAATATGTATGTGTATGTGTGTGTTGGGGGAGAATCCTGGCACCAAGTTGGATCCGGAGATAGAATGTATGTGTGTGTGTGTGTGTGTGTGTGTGTGTGTTGGGGGGAATCCTGGCACCAGGTTGGATCTGAGGATAGAATGTGTGTGGGGGGGGGAGGGGGGAGGCGGAATCCTGGCACCAAGTTGGATCTGAGGATAGAATATGTGTGTGTATGTGTGTGTTGGGGGAGAATCCTGGCACCAAGTTGGATCCGGAGATAGAATGTGTGTTTGTGTGTGTGTGTGTGTGTGTGTGTGTGTGTGTGTGTGTGTATGTATTGGGGGAGAATCCTGGCACCAAGTTGGATCCGAGGATAGAATGTGTGTGAGTGTGTGTGTGTGTGTGTGTGTGTGTGTGTGTGTGTGTGTTGGGGGGTAATCCTGGCACCAAGTTGGATCTGAGGATAGAGTGTGTGTGTGTGGGGGGGGGGGGAATCCTGGCACCAAGTTGGATCCGAGGATAGAACTTCGGAACCTCCGTGGCCGGTGGACAACTGTGTTACTATGGAAACGCCTACAGAGACGAAAGGATGAAAAGAACAGGTGCTTCATCGTATTTTTAAAATGACTTTCTTCTTGGTTAAATCACCAAACACTGGGGGAAGGGGGTGGGGGTGGGGAGGGTCAGGGAAGAGTGCTCATGTTATTGGACTGCCTTTTCTGAAACGAAGACCCAGCAGTCTGAAATCTGTTGAGGACATGGTTGACAAGAAGCGGTGGGCTGATAAATCATAGGCAGGAGGTTCATTTGGCTCCACAACTACAAGCAGATTCCTTCTTTATTCGATCAGCACACATTTGTTTTTTACCTATCCTACCTATTTTGGGGGGCGGGGAGGGAGGAGGCACCTGCTGCTTTGGGGACCAATCCACGCAGGGGATTGAACCCAGGCCCCCCTCATTCAGAGCATGTGCTCCCGATCTTTGAGCTCTCTCCCCAGCCCTCAAATGCTACCTTCCCAGGTGGCAGGGACCCAAACCAATCCAGATCTCCTCGAAAGCGCTGAAACTTTTGTGTTGCCCAGCCCAGCTGCCTCCAGTATTTTATGTAAGAGACACAGAACTCTGCCATGACTGTAAAGCCCTGGGGAGTTATCAAGGGAACCGAAGCTGACAGATGGCGGCCAGCCGTGCTTCCTGCAGAGTCCAGCGACTACCTAGGTGACTACAATTACAAACTAGTAATGACAAAAGTCAGTGTTGATGTTCCTATCTGCGATGAAAATGTTTATACGTCTCGCAGGGTAATGGGGATGAAGTCAGCCAACACATTCAACCCCCAGCACTGCAAAAAAGCAGAAACGACCGCCAACACACTATTTTTTTTTTTTTTTTGCAGATGAGATGATGGGTTGAAGAAAAATTATGGATTTGCCTAGACTTCCCCAGTTCCTTGCCAGAACTGATTCAAGGCTTCAGACTCCTCCTCGGTTGCTAGTTTCTTTGCTAGTCACCTGCGGGCATTTGACATGGGCAGTCTGAAACCTATGTTGAGGACATGGTTGATAAGAAGAAGTGGTGGGTTGGGGCCGGACCGATAGTACATAGGGTAGGGTGTTTGCCTTGCACATGGCCGACCTGGGTTCGATCCTCGGCATCTCATAAGGTCCCCTGAGCACCGCCAGCAGTAATTCCTGAGTGCAGAGCCAGGAGTAACCCCTGAGCATCGCCTGGTTTGAAAAAAGAAGAAGAAGAAGTGGTGGGCTGATAAATCTTAGGCAGCAGTTTCATTTGGCTCCACCACTCCAAGGAGATCCCTTCCTTGTTCAATCAGCACACATTCTCCTCCTGCTTCTTTGGTTTCATTTAAAACCAAACCACTTTTATTGAATAGGAATAAAAATAGGTATAAATAACACAGATTCTTTGTATAAGAGCAGCAACACTTACGGATCATCCGCCTTCCCTTTATCCCTGAAAACAATCCCTCCCACGAGGTCTGTCGCGTCTCACCCTCTCCTGGTTCAGAGGTTCGTCTCGGCCACACGGAGGATCTGATCTTAGGAGTCAGGGAGGGGGGTGGGGGATGGGATGACCCTTCAGCATGGAGATCGCTTTGGCGTTGAACAACGAATGAGGTGCCACAAGAATACCAAAGGCAGCGCAGAGGAGAGCAGAGGGCTCGGGGCGCACACACGATGGGGTTCCTCCTCTGCATGTTGGAACAGCCTTCCCGGCCCTATCAGGGAAGACAGCCTTTAAAATGCTGACCCCCCCCTCCATCCCCCGCCAATGTCCCTGCCCCACTCTCAGCCCCCAGAGTTCCCTGGCGAGAGGGGCGGGTGGTCCAAGGCGCCAGCCACCTGCCCGACGACGCTTCAGTGGTGAACCAGGGCTCCGAGCCCCTCCCCTTCCTCCTGCTTTCCCCAGAGGAAGGGGAGGCGGCCCACGTCCTTGAAGTCCCCTGGCTGCTGCGCGGGCTCGGGCGGCTGGCAGCGGTCCGCCCAGATGTCCAGGATCTTGCGCAGGGTGGAGCATCGCTCCTCCAGCTCCCGGCCCTCGCTCTGCATGAGCAGGTTGGCCAGCTCCCTGCTCAGGTCGAGGATCACGTCACTGCAGCCCTCCTCCTTCTCGGGCCGGCCCAGGTTTGGGGACACCACCGGGGCCCGGAGCTCCCCATGGGGCCCGAGGAGGTGTTGGTATCGCTTCTGCCATCGCCGGCACACCATGGCTTCGCCCACGGGCTGCTGGCTGGTGTGCAGCAGGGCCAGGACGTGGCGGCAGGGCAGGTGGTAGCCCCGCTGGAAGGAGCAGCTGCAGCTCCGGCCGTCTCTGCCCACCTGCTGCGAGTCCTCCAGCAGCTGCACGGCCACGGAGGGGCCCGCCAGGTCCACCAGGTGGGTGGAGTTCTGCACCACCTCCCACTCGTTGCGGCACAGCTTATAGGCCAGTTCGGAGCCGCTCTCGTGCAAGGTGTCCAGCATGCCCTGCTGGAAGGGCTGCTGCCGGGCCGGCGGCTCCGGCTGGGGCCCCTGCGGGTCGGGCTGTGGCCCCGGCGGCTCCGGCTCCGGCGGTGTCTCTCCCACGGGGTTCGGGCGGCCTCCGCAGGAGCCCAGCGCCTTCTTGGACTTGGGCGGTGCCCCCGCGGGCCGGGATCTCTTTAGCTTGGGAGGGCCGGTGGGCAGGTGCTTCACGCCTTTGGTGTTGAAGAAGTCGACGTAGTCCACGAAGCGGAGGATGCAGTCCGTCAGGGACTGCTGTTCTCGGAAGAGGCTCGACACCTTGCTGGTGACGACGTCGAGGCTGTCCATGTAGGTGTTGCACGCGTGCAGGCCCTTCCTGACGTGCATGTACCATAGCAGCTCGCAGGAGAACCAGTGGGCCTGCAGGAAGCCGAAGAGCTCCTCGTCCAGGACGGCCTTGGACATCTGGCGGAGGTTCTGCAGGGTGATGTCGGACGTGGCGAACACGGCCTCCCGGAGCGCCTCCTTCATCAGCCGCTTGAAGTGCAGGTCCACGGAGCTGCGGTGCAGCTTCTTCTCCAGGAGGCGGGTGGTGTGGTAGATGGAGAGGAGGATGCGGGCGGCCGGGAAGACCTCCTTCAGGGCGGCCCGGTGGGGGAAGGACGGGTCCACGAAGACCACCTTGACCTTGGGCCAGTCGGCGTTGAACTCCGTGAAGATGCTCAGCATCTTGGCCGTGGAGGAGGCGGTCTCCGCCTGGAGCACGGCAAAGTGCACCACGCGGCTCTCGCGCTCCCGGTTCTCCACCAGGAAGGCGTAGAGGGTGTGGCCCGGGGTGTTCTCCACCCGGTGCAGCAGCAGGTTCTCAGGGAAGCGCGAGAACAGGTCGCCCATCCTGCTGCTCTGGAAGCTGAGCCGGTCCAGGTCCTGGCTGTTGCCGATGCTGAGGGAAGCCCTGGAGCCCTCGTCCCCCTGGAGGAAGTTCTTCATCACTTTGGCGATCTTGGCCAGGTCGGCGGGGATGACGCCCTCCTGCTCCGGCTTGGAGGGGCTCTGGGCCTCCTCGAGGCCGAGGGCGGCCGGGGCGGGGGGCTGCTCCACCGGGTTGAGGTCCTTCTTGGCGGGGGGCTGCGCGGGCTGGGCTTTCTGCAGGCACAAGGGCGTTGGCGATTTGCTGGGGTCGTCTCCCCGCGGCCACGGGGTTTTGGAGCAGGGGTGGACGTGCTGGGTGTTGAGTTCCGTGATGAACAGTCTGTCCAGCATCTCGTTGTACTGCAGGAGCAAGTACGCGGGGCACATGTCCGCCTCGGATCGTCTCTTCCTGTTTGACTGGCTCCGAATACAGACAAATTTCACCTGCACGTATCTGGGAAGGCAGAGGCGACAGTGAGAAAGAAGGTGCTGACCGCCCTTTCTTACAAGACAAGGTCCTGGGGGGGGGCGAGGGGGCTCACGGTAGTTTCCTGGGGGGCAGAGAGGAGGCAGGGAGGCCGGGCATTCCCGTCTCCATCTCAAAGACCCCCTCTCTCCAGTGGAAACTCCCCTCCATTTGTACCCAACCCCCAACTCTTTTCACTCTTTCTCTGTGGCTGCCGACAGTTCCATCGGGGGCGAGATCCAAGAGAACACAGTTAATGAGATGGCAGAGCAGCAGTGTGATACTCCCTATTTTATTTATTTATTTATTTTTTTTAGGGGGACCCACCCGGCTGTACTCAAGGCTTAATCCTGGCTTTGAGTTCGAGGATCACTCCTGATGGTGATTGGGGGACCACACAGGGTGCTGAACTGGGTCAGCCACATACAAGGCAAATGCCCTACTTGCCTTGCCATCACTTCACTCCTATTTTATTATTATTATTATTATTTGGGGGGGCATGCCACCAGAACTCGTGCCTTGCTGTGGGGTGGGTGAGAGCCCTCCCTGCCCCAAGGGACCCAGCCCCGGCAGCCAACCTCCACTACCCAACCACTATCATGCTTTATTCAGGCCGCTCTCCGGGCCGCTTTGCAGCTATGTGACACATTATAAGACACTTTCTACCCATTTTCCACTATTACTACACCATATCTGATGGGGTTCAGACAGTAGGCAACAAATCATAGAGAAAAATATATAAATATAGACCTCTTAGAGAGCCCGGCAAGCCACCAAGAGTATCCCGCCTGCACGGGCAGAGGCTGGCAAGCTCCCTGTGGAATATTCGATATGCCAAATACAGTAATGACAATAGGTCTCATTCTCCTGACCCCAAAAGAGCCTCCAATTGTGGGGAAAAGACAAGTAAGAAGAGGCTACTAAAATCTCAGGGCTGGGAGGAATAGAGACGTTACAGGCACCCACTTGAGTAATTTGACGATCAAGGGGATGACAATGAAACGTGATAGTGATTTGGGGTGGGGGGGTCACACCTGGCGATGCTCAGGGGTTACCTCTGGCTCTGCACTCAGGAATCACTCCCGGAAGTGCTTGGAGGACCATATGCAATGCCGGGGTTTGAACCCGGGTCAGCCATGTGCAAGGCAAATGCCCTCCCCACTGTACTATTGGACCAGCCCCCTCGCCCCTATTTTAAAGACCCCAATGATGGGGGTCTTTAAAAAAACACTTTTGGGGGGCTGGAGCGATAGTACAGAGGGTAGAGCATTTGCCTTGCACCCAGCCAACCTGGGTTCGATTCCCAGCATCCCATATGGTCCCCGGAGCTACCGCCAGGAGAGATTCCTGAGTGCAGAGCCAGGAAGAACCCCTGTGCATCTCCGGGTGTGACCCAAAAAGCAAAAACAAACAAACAAAAACACTTTTTTGTTTGGGGGCCACACCCAGGGGTGCTCAGGGCTTATTTCAGGCTCTGTGTTCTGGGGTCACTCCTGGTGAGGCTCAGGGGGTCCTATAGGCTGCCAGGGGTCAAATCCAGGCTGGCTGCGGAGATTGCAGGAAGCCCAGGTCAGCCCCCTGCATGAGGGACTGTTTTCCCAGCCAGAGCACACACATTGCATGGGCAAAGGCTCCACCCCCACCCCAGCCCTGCTGCAAATGAGAAAGTCAGAAACGCTCTGGCTTGCCAGGTCTGCCTGCTGCTAGCTTTGTCATCCCAGGCTGCCTGTGGGGATTCCAGGAAGTGCCATTAAATGTTCTTTTTCTCCCCGTTCCCTATTCAGCACAAACCGCAAGGCCCAAATCAGGTGTCTCCTTCTCCAAGAAGCCATTAATGTGCTCAAGTCACCGTCATTTTCCTTTCTCTGGATCGATACCATTTACCTAAACTAAAAGGCCTAAGGACCGAGGGTGGAGCTCAGTGGTAGGGCGAACGCTGGGCATTCACGAAGCCTTGGGTTTGAGCCTGGATTTTACTGACAAAAATAAAAAGGATGAAATTGGGCTGGAGAGATAGCCTTGCATGTGCATGACCAAGGTTTGATCCCTGGCATCCCATATGGCCCCCTGAGCACCAGTGGGAGTGAATCCTGAGTGAGAGAACCAGGAGTAACCCCTGAGCACTCCAGGAGCAATCCTCCCCTGCCTCCCCTCCTTTTTGTTGGTTTTGGGGCCACACCTGGTGATGCTCAGGGATTACTCCCACTCTGCACTCCAGAATTACTCCTGGTTTTGTTTAGGGGACCTCATGGGATGGTGGGGATCGAACTTGGGGCAGATGCATGCAAGGCAAGTCCATTACACGCTGTACTGTCTCTCCAGCCCCAGGAGTCATTCCTGAGTCATCCCCCACCTCCCACAAAAGATAAAACGGGCTGGAGAGATAGCACAGTGGGTAGGGCGTTTGCCTTGCATGCGGCCGACCCGGGTTCGATTCCCAGCATCCCATATGGTCCCCTGAGCACCGCCAGGAGTAATTCCTGAGTGCAGAGCCAGGAGTAGCCCCTGAGCATCGCTGGATGTAACCCAAAAAGCTTAATAAATAAATAAATAAATGATGAAAAAAAAGATCTGGCAGATTCTCTGGGCGGCTGTATCGCTGGTTAAACAGCTGGTGGCTGACCACACACACCTCGGCCTAGGCCCTCCCCTCAAGGTTGGCCAGACTGGTCTGGTCACGCCCAGGTGCGTTTCCTCATCGTGAAATGAGACCCGTTGATGCGGGTTGTGGTGAGGATGAAATAACCCACTGGGAGAATATTTAGCCCAGAGCCTGGCTGAATCTCTCACTGATGCTGGAGACCAGGTCCCGTGTTCTGGAATGTTCTCACAGGGGAGGTGCTGGGGATCCAACCCAGGGCCTCCTACCTGTGAGGCATGTCATCCCTTGGAATATTCCGTGGGCGTTTGCTCAGGGCCTTTCCAGCCAGTCTTTGAGAGGCGGACAGTCGCCAGGGTGTCCCAAGCCCCTGACACAACACTGTGCTCCCAGCAGGTGCTCATCAAAGCAGCACTGGACGGGTGATTCACGGACCAGCGGGTGGGTGGGACAGTCACACCACCTCTGGGAACCTTCCAACTCAAAGAGCAGGGGAGAGGGAAATTTTTTTAGCCCGGATACCTCCCCAGTGCTTGTCTAAACACCCTAACCTGCTGGTCCTGTTTGCCCACCTATGGTGCAAGTTTAGAGAAGCAATAACAGGGTGACGGGCACGGGCCTAACATTCCGGCACCTGCAGTGTGCAGAGCTGAGTGGCAGCGCTATCCCTAGCTCGGGACTAGGAAGGGACTGGGGTGGCCACGCAGGGCCAATGAAGAGTGTTGGTGGGGGGACTCCCCCCCCTTGCCAGCCTTTTTTTTTTCTTTTTGGGCCATACCCAGTGATACACAGGGGTTACTCTTGGCTCTGCACTCAGAAATTACTCCTGGCGGTGCTCAGGGGACCATATGGGATGCTGGGAATCGAACCTGGGTTGGCCACGTGCAAGGCCACATGCAAACGCCCTACCCACTGTGCTATCACTTTAGCCTCTCTCTTGCCAGCCTTAGCGGCCACTTTCTTACCTCATTTTGAGGGCCCTGGCAAGGGGAACTGTTTCGCAGTTCACTCTACTGCATCTCACGTCCATGCCTTTGCTCAGTTTTGTCTATGCCTGGGATGCCCTTCCCGTTTGCCTTCATCACGGGACTTACTCATCCTTCTGGACCACAGGCGCCTTCATCTCAGGCCAGCCAGCTTCCCCCATGCCCTGGTGCTGACTCAGCATTTTGGTGTAGCTTTGCGGTCACCAAATTCTATTGACTTTACATCAATATATTGACTTTTTCAAGCTGGTCAAGGAAGAAATGGTGGGAGTATTAAGAGTGGTGAAAGTCTCTCTTCCTGGGGCTGAAGCGATAGCGCAGCGGTAGGGCGTTTGCCTTGCACACAGCCAACCTGGGTTCGATTCCCAGCATCCCATATGGTCCCCTGAGCACCGTTAGGAGTAATTCCTGAGTGCAGAGCCAGGAGTAACCTCTGAGCATTGCTGGGTGTGGCCCAAAAAGAAAAAAAAAAAAGTCTTCCCTTCCTGGTTCTGCATCTCTGGAGAGAAAGGACAACATTGTTTATAAGCTTCAGATTTTTTTTTTTGGAGGGGGGGAGGTAGGGGAGAGTCACACCCAGTGGTGGTGAGAGAGGGGCTACTCCCAGGGTAATGCCCCACCCCACTCAAGGGAAAAAGTAAAGCAGGTGACTCCAGCCCTCTGGGCCCTCCTCTCAACCTGGCCCTCCCCCTCACCATCCTGGGGGCATTCATGTTCATTCTCCTTCCTTCCTTCTCCAGGCTCAAGTTCAGTGTGTTAACAGTTTTCTTCAGTTCTTTCTTACCAGGGCCAGAGAGAGTGCAGTGGGTAGGGCACTTGTCTTGTACTTGTCTTGTATGCCGCTGACCCAGATTTGATCCCTGGCATTCCACAGGGTCTCCCGAGCCCATCAGGAAAGAATCCTGTGTGCAGAGCTAGGAGTAAGCCTTGAGCACTTCTGGGTGCGGCCCCAATTCCAAAAAGTAATAACAATAATAAAGTTCTTAACCTCTAATACATATTTCAAGAGCTGGTATTTGCCATGCTATATTATATGCCACGCCCTACGTGTGACTTCTTATAAAAGGAAATGGGTTCTATTGTCATTCACATTTTCTTTTTTGTCTTTCAGTTTGTTTTTGGGCTACATCCAGTGGTACTCAGGACTTTGTCCTGGCTCTGCACTCAGGGATCTATCTATTCTGGCAAATTTAGCAAACCATGTGGGATGCCAGGGATCCAACCTGGGTTGGCCACGTGCAAGGCAAGTACCTACCTTCTATACTATTACTCTGGCCCTATCGTTCACATTTAAAAAATGTGGGTTTGTTTTTTTTCCCACACCCAGCAGTGCTCAGGGCTCACTCCTGGCTCTGCACTCAGGGATCACTCCCTGGCGGTGCTCAGGGCACCATATGGGGTGC